GTGACTTCCAAGCACAATATTTGATAATTGATTCACCCTATAACAACAACAACAACAGGCCTTTATCCCATTAAGTGGGGTCGGCTACATGAATCCTTTTCTTAATTATGAATCCTTGTCTTTAAGATTCAGTGTTTTTGAAATCATGCTAATTTATTTTTAAAATAAAACATAAAAAACAGACAAAAATGCATTAAAAAATACAAGTGATCCCAAACAAGCCATTGAGGGTTGTTTGGTTGCAAGATTTAGCTTAAGATTTAGCTATGATGTAAGCTAAATCTTCCCAAACAATGAATCTCTATTGTCCCTTGATTTTGATTCTCGAGTGAAGCCATCATGGCCTTTCTTATTCTTATAGTAAGACTAACATAATTTTAAATTTAATGTCATGCATCATTTACCCTAATCTAATTTATTTTAGTCTTATAGTAAGACACATTGATGACTACTTTGCATGGCTTTATATATGAATTTAATATATAAATATCTTAGTTGCTACTTCTTTTGTATCAGATCATGAAGCACGATCCAATCGGATCCATCTCAAGCGGTGATTCGGACTTTGATGTTGATTATTACGATGATGATTTTGATGATGTTGATAATTCCGCTGGCTTGCTTAATGTTGATGTATGGAGTGATCATGAATTCAGTTATACCGAATCTACTGATGAGAGTATAGACGACTACGATGATGATGACGACGACGACGACGATGATGATGATGATGTTGTTGATGATGACCTTAATGATGATGTTATAAATGGTTTATGTGCTACTAGATGATGGTATAGAGTCTACTTATGTGATTTATTACTATCAAATAACACATTTGTCCAAAGCCAATGCAAAATGAAGGTTATGAATCCCATTGGGAGCAGTGTAAATGTGGAGCGAGTTATTTTTTTTAAATTACGCAATTTTTCTTGTATTATTTTTTTTTGTAGAATTTACTTGCAGAGCACCTGAAACATAACTATTTACAAATCAAGCTCCCTCTATCATTCTTTTTTCAAATTCTCGCTCAAATAAGAAAATCATGATAAAACCCTAACTCATGTTTTTCATTTTTATCAAATTCTCAATGGTATGATTGTGGCATGTGAAAATATATCGATTCTGTATTTCAAAAAAATACCTTGATGAGTAATTTGTAAATATCAATATTTTAAGGAGGTATGTATGTAGTTATCCCAAGAAAGAAATATTAAATTTTAGGGCATAATCTTGTTGGGCCCATACTCATTAAATATTTACTACACAAGTGATATATAGACAATTATGCTTGCATAATATATGAATAAAGTTTTTATAAATTTTTAATATACAATCTATGGTAAATAATCATGTAATTACATAATATCGAGTATATACAGGGGTAGATCCACGTGGGCTCCATGGGGGAATTGCCCCCTTCAAATTAAGATTTTTTTACTTATATTGGTGAGCAATTTAGTCTTTTGTGCCTCCTAAAATATCAAATTTATCCCTATTAAAATAACATTTTATCCTTCATTGCTCTAGTTTCTTAAAAAAGAGATTGGTTTCACCCCTGAGTATATCTAACATTCTTGAAATACTCTATTAAGAACTTCTAACCAATGTCTTTTTCACTAATGCATTTCTTATGTGTTTTAGAGTTTAAGGTATGTTTAGTCACAAACATGGTAAATAACTTGACGTTTTTGTAAATTTGATTATTTTATTTTTATGTGCAAAATTTTTCCTCCCTTGCCCATAATGAAGTTCGATGCTTTACTCCCATAAAGTGATTTTGTAGATATTTATGTGTATACATAAAAAAAACGAGCATAAATCTCAAAGAAAACGAACGACCAAGATAAAAAAGTCTTTTCTTGAGGTAAGCAATCAACCGACGATTCAAAGCAGAGCATGAAGCCGTGTTTCCAAACTCGAGATAAGTTCAAGCTTTGGAGATAGTTTCTCGCTCGGTAGCAACAAAACCGGCGAAAGTGAGGCGCAAATCACCTTGGCAACGAGTATCGTTGGATACCCCACATAGGCTGTGAGAAGATTCTAAGACCTTGTAAGATTGGGAGATCCGACCGAGGCAACAAACCAACCAGGTAAGCGAGACACTAGCCTTGCAAGACTTGAGCCAAATGGAGAATGAGTCACAGCTCACTCGACAAAAAAATAACCCCGCGTCTGGACCGAACAACCATCTCACAACCAACAATTCCGGTCAATTATGTCAAAAAGACACCAAGCCAGATCGCCATGCGCCCGATCACTTTGGCCGACCAACACGTACTTCAAATGAGATAAACACAACCTGAATTTACTGACTTCAAGCCAGCGGACCAACTAATTACTGTCAATGTTGAAATTCAAATTATAATACAAATATAACATAAAATCTATACAATCAATTAGAGCTTTAATAACATTAAGAATGATTTCTATAACAGTTGTCTCATTTCTGTAAACATGGTAAAAATATGAATAAACATTCCTCCCCCTCGATTCTCTCTACAAAAATTTCTGACTTATTCTACTAATTGTTCATTCTCTCATTCATTCGACCTTAACTCTCGAGATGTGATTCAAAAAGGATAAATTATAATTCATCATTATGTGTGTGTAAATTTTAAAACTTTTACAAAGTGAAATACATCTATTTTTATATCTAGGTAAGGTGACAAACAATTAAAAATTAAAGTTTTAAGTTTTAGATATGTAAATATATATGAGTTGAGTATCATGTATGCAAATTATCTGGGACTTGACCTCAACATAGCGTTTGAGGTGTAATTTCCCTAATGATGTTATAAGTTTGAATTGCACATATTGCACTTTGGGCTCCCTTAATAAAAGTTAATTTGAAAAGTGGTCAGAGTTTGAAGTATTTTTTTATTTTATTTTATTTTAGGAATTTACATACATAATATATATATATATATATATATATATATATATATATATACATTTATACCACCTAAATGTTTCATATTTGCAAAATGGTGAATGTATGTGAAAATTAAAATTGCGGTGTTAGTTATGTAAATACAGAAGAAATAAGAATGGTAGGCAAATAACGGGAGAGCCGCTCAGCTTCGATGTCTCCGGTTTCCTCTTCTCCGATCGCTAATTCTCAATCGTATCCGAGCGCTGCGAGGCTCTCCGATTCCCTTTGCTATCCTCAGTACACAGCTTCTCTGAAATGTAATCTCTTCGTCCCCATTCCCTCCTTTTGCTTCTTTCCTATTTTGATCTTAGCCGTAGGGTTTTTTTCGCTTGAAACAACGGGTAAGCTTCCGATAGATTCTTTGAATGAGGTGTATTGGATCAGATTGGTGAGTTATGAGCTTGATAAAGAAATGAGGACGGAAGAATAGAAAGCGATTATGGATTGATGGTTGATCTTTAGACAGATTTCTTCTTAATCCATCTAACATGATTGAAAATCTTCTAAAAAAATGTTTTCTTATAACTACTGTACTGACCTAGTTATATGATGTTATTCTAACGGAATACTCAATTAACCTAAAAGAATATTCATTTAATGCATATAGGAAACATTCAATTTATCTGACAATCAGACTCATTTCTCATTTTAGGCTAGATCAGAATGTAATTCAACCCTAATGGTTGGATTTAAGTTAATTCTCTTATGAGATGGCTAGTCAAGTTTGATCCCTGTTGTATGCAAGAAAATTTGTGATGGTGGAGTGAAAGATTTAACATTTTAACTTTGCATATAAATAGATAAATGACAAGGACACAGGTGATAATAAAATTCTTATGTGGAAAATTTGGAAAGTAAAAGAACGACGGGGCTTAGCCCAGCTGAAGTTACTTACCATGTAGATGAGTTTACAAAGTCCACTCTTCCATATTGAAGAAAATGCGATTACAAAGTTGAGAATATTTGTTAGGTCTCTTGTGATTGCGGTAGAAGTAGTGACGAGTGAAGATGATGATCAAATGTTAACGGTTGGGTGATTATGATTAGGTGATAATGGTCGAGAGAGAACGATCGGGTTATGTGATTGAACGATAGTGTTTAGTTGATGACAGTTGTGGCGGCAACGGCTTAACATTATTCATCACGTAAAGCCCTAAAGCTCTTCAAATCTCCTAGCCTTCCTCAATTTCAAGTCCAAGTCTAGATTTTTCTCTCATTACCATATAGAGAATGTGGGTATATTTTTTTTAGTGGTATTTTGATTTTTGGTCAGAATCTATAAATGTTCTATTGGAAAGCCCATTTTGATTACTTTGATAAATTACTATTTATTCAACATTAAAGTGGCTTGATGATTTTAGAATTGAGTGATGTTAAGTTTGTTGGATTTCTTTTGTCGGGATGATTAGTTTGAGTATAAGAATTGAGGATTGTTTGACCCTTTAATTAATATCTCAAAATTTTAAATCACACTTAAAAGTGCTCAAGATATATATGGATTCAAATATGATCAAATCTTGTTGTTGGATTTATTACGTTTAGATATTTACTCTAACTATAAGTTTGTTTAAATAATAATTTGTATGATTTTGAATATAATTCCGAAAAATTTCCCATTCAAATACTGTATCGAAATTTTTTCTTTATTAAATGCATTATCTAATGTTGCATTTATTACAAAATTAATTATCTATTGCAAATTCATTTTAATATGAAGCAAATCATGTGAAATAAACATGACTTTTTTATCTTGCTGATTTCATAGCATATAATGATGAAATGGAAGCAAATTCACTAAAAAAAATGGCTTCTTTTTAAATTTATATTAGTTAAAGCTTCGTTGTTACAATGTACATGCATAGAATTTCAACTTAAGAAATACAATTGGTAGTTTTTTCATTTTTTTTTTCTTTTTTTGTCAACAAACAAAAATTCATTTCCTTACTCGCAAGAAGGGTTGCTACTTCGGTCATTAAGTTTTTGTTAATCATGACTTGCTTCAATGGAAGAAATATGACTTGCTTCAATGTTAGTCATGACTTGCTTCATGGCATCCTGCGATGGAAGAAATATTCAACTTTAATTAAAAATAGATAGATAGATGTTCTAATAACAACATTGGATATTGTAATTATTCATTTCACGATTCATAAAGATGGCTCTATTTTTTGTGTTTCATAAACTATGCATGTATCATTTACACAAAACTGAAAATGAAATGAAGCAGGGGAAAATATGAAACAAATATGGTATGAGTTACGCTAACTGAATTCCTTCAGATTGCATTCAACCAATTTGGAGTAGTTAGTTACCAAACGGATTCCATTCATAAATTTGTTATCTTTTTGCCTTAGGCATCTGCTTACTTATAATGAGAGACTTCTCCAATTAGGAATTTTAAAACAGGCATTTACATACATACCGCACAATTCTTATTGTAAATTTGAAAGTTTAGGTGTGAGATATGTAAAAACATAAGAATTGTGTGATATATATGTAAATGCTCATTTTGTTTATTGAAAAATATCCACAGAGGGCCCATGAAAGAATGTATTTAGGAAAAACATGTGAAGAATGTGTATGGTTTATGTATTTCATGTACAATTGTTTCCTTCCTGATTCAGAACACTGCTTTTGTTCGGATTTATAAATGTTTCCTTAAAAGATCTAAATTTGTACTTGTGTGTGAGTTTTTCGCCTGTCAAAGTTTGCTGATTTGTAGACGAAAACATGCAGGTCTGGAAGTTAACTACCAAGATAAAAGCAAATGTCAATTGCTATTTGATGATTACAAAGAATGCAAGAAGAAGGAGGTTCAATACTCTTTTGGATGACATTATTTAGAATGCTCAATATTTTTTTATATCCATCTTGCTTACAATTTTTTTTACTTTAGATTATACATTCATTTTTTATTTTTTAAAAATATTTTGGAAAGCTGAGTTCCCTTATACAGTCTTTAACATTGATTAGCTTGCATTGTAAGGCATTGCAACATTTGAATTTATTTTTTTGTTTATTTATTTTTTAATGGTTGTTCAAGGAGTATCATATTTATATAAATGCTTAAATTGAATATGTATGTTTGGAGGGAGACTCTCCCGATTTGACGAAAAATCTCTCTCTGTGATTGGGCAATTTGAGGACGTCACGATATCCAATCCACATCGTGAGTTTCTTGGTTTTATGATTTCGATCAAATAGTTCAACGGCTTCTTTTTCTCTTTATTGTTTAATGTCAAGGTTTAGTTACATTCCAGTGATGGGTAGAGTCTAGTGTTAGAGAAGGCTGATCTTATGCACCACAATTCTTCATGAAGGAAACCCTCTCAGCTCTAAGAAAAACTGTCGATAGTCTTCTTTAACTTCAACTTTATCATGTAAATATTGCCCTTCACATCTAAGAAACTGTAACAATGTGTTTTTAAGAAGATGTTGAATAGCATGATAGCATCAAATTTTTCTTTCTCTTTAATATTCACATTAGGATTTGTTTGATCTAAAAGAAGTTTGTTATAATCATCAAAATGCTTTTGTAGCGATGTGCTTTCATTTGTGCAAGTGCAAACTAGGTACTTCTTCAAATAGAGATGATTGGTGATTGGTTTTATCATATAGAAAAATTCCAACTTTTCCTAATGTCTTTTTAGCAATTTGATCAACTGTATTTCTAAGGATCTCATCTCGTAAACTAAGGACGGTCAAATCAAGACCTTTTTGACGCATTTTGTATTTCATTTGTGCCATTTTGTATTTCATTTGTGCCATTTAGGAAAATTTTTAGCTTTCATATCTTTGAGCAATAAAATGGCTCTCATCTTTAATTGTCATAATCATTATTCCTGTTAAATTTCTCGTTACAATATCTCGTATATTTAAATAGAGTAATACTTATTAATTGAAGCATAGCGTCGAATGTGATCAACAAAGGAAAATAGAGTTTGCATCACATATGATATCGAATGTTAGAACAATCATACAAATCAATTTGTGATTTGGTCAAGAATGACTTACATCCACAGGGCGAAAACGCAAAAATGATCCACCATCAAAATGTATGTAAGAGAACAAAATAAAAGGAGTGTCAAACATATATCAAATTCTCTTCACAATAAACTATTAAGGAGGAGTGAGAAACATCTCATCACAAATTTTGGAGGAATCTTTCTTAAGAAAAAGCTAAAGAGAAGATAGAAAAATTCCTCTTTTCTTAACAAATCTTCCAGAATAACTAAAACCCTAATCCCCTTGGAAGAGCTCTATTTCTCACCTTGAAAGCCCCTCATGTCACCTTTTGCATGCTTGATTGTTCGCTTCGTTCGTCGCTTTGCGACCTAGAGAGGCCGCCGAATAAGTAAAACTTAACAAACAGAGGGGCCAAGGACGAAAAATGTGAAATTGCAGTTGAAATTTGTCATAATTCTTACTAAAACTGCTATGTGGAAGGCCCTATTTCTTTATCAAGTTAGATAACAAAGAAATGAATTACCTTGCATGCTGATGTATGATTCATTGTTTCATAGACATCTCATATATTTTATGAAAATTTAGATACATACCACACAATTCTTATGTATTTACATATCTAATACACAAAATTTGATATTTACACTTATAATACCTTGGTGTCATAAACCAATGCATGAAAAAGGTGTATTTCGCTTTCTAAAAGGTGTTTTTGATGTGATGTTACAGTTTTGAGTGGTATGCATGTAAATATGAATGTTTAAGTGTTAGATATGTAAATTCATAAGAATTATGTGGTGTCTATGTAAGTACCCCTTATTTTTATAAATAGACATGCCTTGTTGTCTCAGCTCAATAGTTTGAAACTTTTGATTAAATGATTGTTTTCTTTTTCTGTAATATTCAACATTCATTCTTTTCACCAGTAACCTTATAATATTGTATAGCGTAGACATCTTAAGATTTTCGGCTTACTTTGGTTTCAATCTTCTACAAGCCAATATAAATAAAGGAAATTTAGATACCTACCAATCAATTTTTATGCATTTACATATCTAACACCTAGAGTTTGATATTTATAGTTATAAAACCATGGTGCTATAAACTTATGCATAAAAATAAGCATTTGACTTATAAAAAAAGTTAGGAAAAGTGGTATTTTCAATGTGATATTAAAGATTTGAGTGCTATGAATGTTAGTATTACACTTTAGGTGTTAGATATACATAATAATTGTATGGTATGCATATAAATGCCCCTATTTTCAATTCTCAAATGTCTATTTAAACATTTTATATGTGCATGTCGATATGATTTGACTTTGATATATGAAGTTTGAAATATTTTAGTGAAGCTATTCTAAAATGAACTGAAAAAAGCCTTGGCATAAGCATCCTGCCTTAATTTTTTTATTGGAAGATTTACATACATTCCACACAATGCTTATATTCTTACACATCCAACGCCCCAATTTACTTATTTATACTCATAACACTTTAGTGTCATAAACCCATGCATGGAAAGGTGTATCACTTTTAGAAATATACTGATGATCATAATTTTGATTAAAAGATTCGAGTGGCTTGCATATACATAATAATTGTTTAGATTTTAGATATGTAAATATATAAGGATTGTCTGGTATGTGTGTAAGTGGCCCATTCATTTGAGAAAATATTACGTCCGGTTTCTCAAACGTGCAGACGACGGCCTGAATCACACAATGACATATGTTTGATAGTGTGGTAAGATCCACGCCGTCGTCCGCACATCCATCGGCTAAACGTAGTATGTTCTCAGCTCATCAAATTCGTCTAAACGTAGTATGTTCTCAGCTCATCAAATTCCTCAATAACTATGCTAATGGGTTATAACTATCTTTTCAATGTTCACAGAGGGAGGCTCGGCTGGAACGCAATCGACACAGATCTTTCTTTCAGTGAAGTGAAGGTTAAGGAATTCATATGCGAGTATTGATTTTTATTTTATTTTATTTTATTTTGTTTTTTTTTTTTCAGATTAATATTGATATGGCATTTGTGCCTAAATTCAGGTCATCATGAAGAACTAATAATGGTGATCATCAACTTAAGGCCCTTTTAGATGTTGATATTTATGTAATAAGATTAAAATACTTTCATTACGACCCTCTTATGTAAAACAAAATTTCAGTTTAATTTAAAATTTAGTTTGACAACACATTTCAAACATTATTGACTACCATGTTTAGCTAAAATATTTTTGAGTTTACAAACAAATTTAATGAAAAAATTTACATTAACTAATTCTATAAATTATTTAAAAACTTTAGCGCGGTAGTGTTTGTTGCTAGGGGTGTAAACGAGATGAACACGAGCGAGCCTAGGCTCAGCTGGTGTTCGGCTCGTTTATATTTCGAGCTCAAAAAGTGTGTTCGTGTTCTGCTCGTTTGCTTAGCGAGGCCAAACAAGAGTCGGCCAAACAAGAGTCGTTTAGCGAGGCCAAACAAGAGTCGTTCACGAACAAAGAGTCGTTTTGACAACCGTAATCAAGTAGCCATGAGATGTTAAGGATTGGTGCAAGATTTAAACATTCATTTGAATCTAATTTAATAATTTTTATTCTATTGTTTTCATTAATACTTTTAATTGATTATAAATCTTTGTAACCTTTTGGTCAATTAAATTTTTTAAAAATACTACTCATCAAATATATATATATATAATTGATTAGTAATATTTCAAGCCAAAACAAACCGAAAACAAACGAACAAATATTTATTCGTATTGTTTATATTCGGCTCATTGACTTAGTGAATCAGCCGAACACAAGCTTCTTAACGAGCCAAACACAAGTTGTTTGCGAACAACGAGCCATTTTGACAACCCTATTTATTGCAAGAAATTTATAATTTCAATTATTAGCATTTACATAGATGCCGTCCAAATCTTATGTATTTACATACTTAATACCCAAGCTTTTAACCTTTTATGTTTAGGCCTTATAAATCTTTCATATCACATAAAGATAACCCCATTTTAATTTAAAAAAATAATAAGAAGAAACATCTTTTCATGCATAAGAAGGCATATACGCAAAAATCTTCCTTTTAATAAATCACTCTACCTATACTTGTCAACCATCTTCATTTACTAACTGCAATGTTAAAATTACTTTCACAGCATAAAATAAAAGCTAACATTCATGGAGAGAAATGCAACCAATTTTATCAATAAATTAATTGACTGATTAATTCATATTATAGCACAGGAAAAAATCAAGGAAAATTTACATATACAGCACACAATTCTTATGCATTTGCATAACACACCTAAACTTTCATATTTACCTGCCTATTCATGAAAAAGATATATTTCATTAGTAGTAATATTGCTTTTTCTTGTCATTAAAACTTGGGAGTAATTTAAATGCTATGCATGTAAATATGAAAATATAGCTGTGGCAAATGTAAAAATAAGAATTGTGTGCTATGTAATTAATTGCCTCAAAAATTTAATCAGAGAATATATAATCAAATAGAGTGCGTAAGTGGAAATATATATTAATATTTACATGTCTATTTATAACCCTTAAAAAAAAAGCTTTCCAACATGGAAATTTCTAGAAAGATGAGAACAATTCCTTAAATAGAATTGTGGTGGCGGCCTTAAACTCAAAGCAGGCAGAAAACTATCCCAAACAAACCCCAAAATCACCAGCCAATAAAATATTCATGTTTTATGGTTAACTAATGCATGAATCAACCAACTAAAACAACAAACATTATTAACATAAACCATCCTCTACATTTCATAGTCTCTCTCAACACCCTAACAGCAAAAACATTATCTGCTACATGCAGAACAATCTCCTTAATTTAAATATTACATATCACAAATGTTCAATAATAAATATTCAATAGGTACCACATGTGTTGGTGTGTAATAAAAAGGGAGTCTTTTTTTTTTCGACGCTCCCAAAATGAGAGTTATCGCAAAGCAATCGAATCAAATATCTTGACAACAACTTCCAAGATCTTTACCAATCAGACTAGTTGGAAACCAAGAGTATAGAGAAAGAGAGCGAGTAGAAATCTACTCATTCTCTCTCTATCTCTCTTTCTCTCTATCTCTTCATTTTTTTTTTTTCCTATTGTTACTCGATGACTAACACATTGAGTAACACCTATCGCCTTATTTTTTTTTTTTTAACTGATTGCTGATACAAATACCTCAGAAGTATGGCCGATAGCGCATTGGCCGCCGGAACCTCGGAGCTTTTCTGCATGGAAACAAAGCAAGTTGTCTTAGAAAATATAGGATAGACAACAGGGCAAAGCATTCATTTGATAAATGAAGATGAAAAAATAAATAAAATATGGGGCATTTACATAGATACCAACCAATTCCTACTTACATACATATCTAATACCTAAACTTTGCCGTTTTGCATGTATACAACCCAAATCTTTCACATCACATAAAAAAATTACAAAGTTTAACTTCTAAGAAAGTGGAATATGTAAAAATTGAAGTTTGGGTGTTAGACATGTAAATACGTAGAAATTGAGTGGTATGTATGTAAATCTTCAAAATAATGTTCATCTGCATGGTTTCCTTCATTTGATACATACCATGAAGCATGTGAGAAAGGTCTCAAAGAATGAGGAAAAGATTTTGTTTAGTGTGATTAAGGGTCTGTTTTGGTTCGCGTGTTTCATCAGTTTATCCGAAAATGCGTTTGGGTTTTTACACTAAACACAGGCCGCAGGTCAACCCCTTACGGCCGGCCCGCGAGCCACGTTTCAGGATAAGCAGCTTATCCTGAAACGCACAAGCTGTCCCAAACAGAGCCTAAATGCGCTGCAACAAATGTGCTGCAACATGACCGCCTAATGCCCAAAACACGAGAAGCTTACTTGAGCAAAATAAAAAAATAATAATAAAAAAAACTAATTATAATTGTGAGAAAATGTTTTTTGGTGCTTGATACGATAATCAATATACTAAAATAAAATCTAAAAATGCAGCAGGAAATTTAGCAGATTATTACTAGCCAATTAGTAACAAATCA